TGTCATAAAGCTATACGTATACAGAGAGAGAGATATGGATAGATAAGATAGAGATGGATAGAGATATATAGTATTACACCTAGACAGAACGAGAGCGAGAGAGAGAGAGAGAGAGAGAGAGAGAGATTCGAAAAGTAGCCCAGAGCGAGCGAGCGAGAGAGAGAGAGAGAGAGAGAGAGGGAGGGAGAGCGAGAGAGAGAGAGAGAGCGAGAGAGAGAGAGAGCGAGAGCGAGCTGGTGGGGGATAGAAGGGGTTGAGAGAGGGCGGAGAGAGAGGGAGGGAGAGACACAGCGGGTGGTGGAGAGAAGTGTGCGTGTGTTTGAGAGAGAGAGAGAGAGAGAGAGAGAGAGAGAGAGAGAGAGAGAGAGAGAGAGAGATTCGAAAAGTGGCCCCAAGGCAGGCAGACAACAGTGGCGAGTGATTGCATATGCCTCCCCACGGCAGTCCTCCCACCACCATCACCATGTACTCACCTTGCAATGGGTTTTTATTGACGTCATCCTCATCGTCATCGTCAGCTCCACCCGTCTCCGTTCCTGTGGATTGCGTAGCAGCCCGAACTGACCAATCAAACCCATCCAAAAAGGCATCTCGATCGAGATCAGGTTTCTCTCTCTCGAGGTAAATGAGCAGCTTCTTCTTGCTATTGAATTCTATCCCATCAGGAGAGATCAAGTACCTGTCTTTCCATTTGCCATTGTGATGTCGATGGCCAACTCGCCATCTCCATCCAGGGGGCGCATATGGTGGTCCCCACCCCACCTCTCCCGCCTTCGCTCCAACCTCACGCAGCCACTGCTCGCGGTCCATATTCAATTTCTCGGTGTCACCATCACCTCCTCCTCCTTCTCCTCCTCCTCCTCCTCCTGCTCCTTCTCTGCCTCCATCCCTCACCCGTCCTCCTTGCGCCCCCCCTCCTCCGACGCCTTCCGCCTGTCCACCCCCTCCAGCTTCACCCAGGCGCTCTCCGCTGCAGCCGGCTGCGTCGGCTGCGCCAGGTTCTCCGCCGTTCTCCGCTGGTCCCGCCAACTGCGCGCCAACACCGCTCTGCATCACCGACGTCCCGATAGCGACCACCTCGTCGCATTCCCCCGCCGGCGGCAGAAGAGCAGGAGGAGCAATCTCCTCCACCTCCATTGCTACCCCCCCCTCTTCCTTCTCCCCCTCCTCCTTCTCCCCCTTCTCCCCTCCAGGATCAAGAGATAGTCCTCTCTCTCCTTCTCTTCTCTTCTCTTCCTTCGACAGCTCTGCGTCAGCAGCAGCGCCGTCGTCGCTCCTTACTCCACTACAGGACAAGCCGTCCCGACCCCGATCCTCTACAACCTTCCCTTCCACGTCAGCACCCCACTCCTTCGCCAGCGCTTTGCACGGGGACGATACTTCCTCCTCCTCCTCTTCCGCTTCCTGCTGCATCCCCCCCTCCTCACCCCGATCGGGACGCGGCGTCGAGGCAGCAGCAGCAGGTTTCGCGCACGAAGCAACTCCACTTGCCTCTGCCACGTGGCCGCCAGTCACTGGCCGACCCAGCCTTCCATCTTTTTCACCCTCCTCTCCACACCCGTTCTCCGTTCGCAAGCCACCTCTTCCTTCTCCTCCATCTCCCCCTCCTTCCATCTCTCCTCCTTCTGCTCCTTCTCCTCCTCTGCCTCCTCCGCCTCCTCCGCCTCCTCCTCTTCCTCCTCCTTCTCCACCGCCCGCTAAACTCTCCCTTTCCGCCGTCATGCCAGTCACTGACAACGAGGGCCGTCCGATCAAACCTCCGGGATTGGAGATCAGCTGCTCACCAGCCAGTCCACTCATCACCACGGCACTTTCGTCGCCTCCTCCTCCTCCTCCTCCTCCTCCTCCTTCCCCTCCTCCCTCCCCTCCTCCTCCATCCCTATCACCTCTTGCATCCACTGACACAATCATTCCCGCCTCCTGCGCTCCTGCACCTCCCTCTCCACCTCCTCCTCCTCCCTCTCCACCTGATCCTCCTTCCTCCCCACCTCCTCCGCCTCCTGTACTTGCTGTGCCCACTGCTGCTGATGTTCCTGATGGCACTGGCGATGGAGACTGATGTTCCTCCCTCTCCCTCTCCACCTCCTCCTCCTCCCTCTCCACCTGATCCTCCTTCCTCCCCACTGGTAATTCTATAGCTTTTGCGTCGCCAGACGAAGTCATCCTCGACTCCAAAACTTTTGCTTCTTGACAAGAAGCTTTCTCCGTCGCTTCAGACGCGTGGCTCCGGACGGCAGCCCCGCCGCCACCTGACACAGAAGCAGAAGGCATGACCGATGACAAAGAGATGGAAACTCGGGCCCCTGCACGAAATAGGAAAGACGCGGGGACGAAATCATAACATTTTCAATCAACGTGGTTACGCGCAACCAGAACGAAATGATAAAAAAGCACTCTCTCTCTCTCTCTCTCTCTCTCTCTCTCTCTCTCTCTCTCACACACACACACACCTATCTCCGCCACCAGCTCTCTC